ATCCTTCTTATCAATCCATTTAAACCAGAACAGAAATCATGCTGATCAACAATCCAATGCAGTACAGAAATTGGACTTTTATTTTAGAAACTGGAGCGCACCTAACTAGTCACTCAATAACAAGAAAAACTGGTGTTTTCTGTAGCATCGGTTTAAAAGCAGGCGATTGCTCTGTTAATGTTGCACAGCTCTGGTCCTGCCAAGCTCACTGTGCGATAAGAACAGGGATTCCAGTCTTCCATCTGAATACCGGTGCTGCAGATGGAAAACTGCTAAGAGAGACAAAAGGGATGCAATCGAAAAAAATCACAAGAAGATAGCATCATCAAGCCTTCTTCTAAATGCAATATAATACTTTCTTTTCATACAGAACCGCCCTTTGCTCTAGCGATAACGCTGACATTCAGAATAAAGCAGTGTAATCAGGAGATGTTTACCTTTTTTCATGAAATACCTCTTTAGAGGTCAGCGTCTTTTTTTCCCCCCTGCATCTTTGAATCGTATGGGATTAAAAACCAGCAGTGGGGCTTAAGTGATGTGCCAAAATGCAAGGTCTGAGACATCTCCTACTAATTTCCTGTTTTCACACCTTCAACTTTCTCCTGACTCCGTCTTTCAGGTCAGTCACTGTTGACATCATTTCTTTCCTGGTCGTCATCACCCCGGTTTGGTTTCTTTCATTCCCTTTTGTTCTGCAGAGCTCCAGGTTAAACGCCCCACTTTACAGCGCCCTCATAAACACATGCACATTGACTCTAGGGCCTCCTGTCACATCAAAGGCAGGAACGTAGAGGCCTGTTGCTGTTATGCCTGATTGCACACAGTTATTGTCAAGTCCCCCACTTTTCTGTGGCATGTGTTCCAGATTGTCTCCATACTAGTAGAGATCCCTATATCCGTCTCCATCCCTTTCTTTACCTACTTTTACACTTTTCCTCCTCTCTTTCCAGTTGACATCATAAAGCAGCAGTTTTCTCCTCTCCTTCCATCTCTTTTTATCCCATTCATGTTATAAAATCTGAATGAAATCACACTCCATCCCTTTTAACCTGCGGCCATGACAGGCAGTGTTTTCATCGGTGTGCCACTGTCTTATCACCTACCTCTCTCAGCCTCATATTGCCAGCCCTCCCAATCAGCAGTGAGCTATCCAGTATTTCTATCAGAGCTAACCAGGCCTGCTTGGCGCAGATAAAACCAAACACCGGGGGCTTTTTGCTGGATCGACAGGCAGGAGGAGATGTTAATGTTAATAGTTTAGATGAGAAATGAATGTTAGGTGTTGTAGCAGGAGGATTATGGCGGGTATTCAGCAATGTTACATTGTGGTAATTGTTTGGTAGTTTGTTGACTAGCAGACATATGTTCTCTCTCTCACAGGGATTATGCAGGGTTTCTTAATTTCGCGGAAAGTTGGAAACGATCCACTAAGAGGGGTTGCAGCTGAACTTAAAAAAAGTAGATTTCATTTTTTCTGCATTGTAGGGGCAGATAGCTCAAACTTCTTCATTATTTATTTTTATTTTTAGCTTAGTTTCTTATCTATCATGCAACCATGAGGTAAACAAATAATATAAGTTTGAAGTGGAAATGAACTAACTTTCAAAAAAAGTCATAATTAGCCAAAAGGTCAAGTGTTTGACTTCCTTCCAGATGTTTGCTGTATCTACCGCATGCTTCATAGATTTTTTCCCCTACCATTTTTCTCATTAAAAACAAAGTTTTTATCAGATTTTCCGACCAAAGCTACAGATCTCTCCTTGCCCAGCCGGTTTCGAAAGGCAGCCATGTCTTGTTGCATCGTTGGTTCGCAGTTGGACCTGACTCTTTCATTATAGAATGCATTAAAACGATCTGTCTGCTGTGTTTTTGGTTTTGGTCATGCTCTTTATTCACTAATGATACTGAGAAATGCCTGAGGATATCACAGAACAGCTGGGTTACACTGAGATTAGATTACAGACAGCTGGATTATATACCTTACTTTATACATACGTTGGCTCCCGTTTTCGTTTGGCTTCATTGGACATTAACTAGGGGTATGAATTTTAGATGCTTATTTGTAAAACCCTTTGAAAACACAGGATATATTTGTATGGGTGTTTGTTACTTGAAGGAAGAAAACTTCCACTGGTTGAAATAGTTTTTCTTTCATTTGTTTAATGGAGTGTTTTAAGGCGGCACGTTAACTCACTGTGTTGTCTTGAATCTCTCTCTTTCCTGTTTTTCTACGCCCTTCCTTATAGCCAAGCCTCTAATGTGTTTAAAGTCTTTTAACATTACATTATACATGTTGACAAGAGAGTAGGATTGCAGATTGTCTTGAAAGCAGAAGCACAGCGTCATTCTGTGAAGCCATCCATCAAGCACTTAGGGGAGAGCTGAGCAATACAGAGAAAACAATGAAAGTGTCGCTGCAGACTGTTGATTTGATTCCTCCGCCTGGTTTATATGTATTCACACAGCTGAGCATAGACACAGAAAAAAGAATCAACTTTTAATTTTTGTAAATCAAACTAACTTGCCGCACATTAACGCTGTTGGCAGATGAGAATGAAAAGCAGCACAAAAATGTGCGTGACACATCCAAGCTTGCTTTCTTTAACCTTATCAGATGCAGTTTTCCAAGTCTCTGTCACTCAGTTTGATTTAATTAGACCTTCTTTATGTATCCGGTACACCCAGCTTTTTCATTCCTCCACCCATCTGTCCACTTTATACTCCCTCACTCTTTTGTTTTCCGCCTGTTTTTGCGCCGGCGGGACAAATTGATAGAAACGATTTATTACCGATATTTTCACAGGTTCCCATCTTCCTTGCCATCATTGTTTCTAAAGAAGCGTCTGCGTCGCGGATGAACTCCCTCTTAGGTTACAGAGGCGCGTCAACAAAAGTGAAGACAAAAACAAAGATGGGATGACGAGATCAGTTTGTAATTTGGGGATTTTGCAAACTAGAGAAAGCACAGACTGACAAGCAGATGGTCTCAAACAGAAAACAGGAAGGCCCACAGAAAGCCCTCCTTTTATTCTTCATATTATCTCATCTCTCTGTGTGCAGGACCAGTCTAGGCTTGGACTGGTCATTAGCCAGTGAACTGGAAATGTCTCATATTTGTAGGATGCAGGGAGCTCAGAGAACAAAAGCATTTCTTTCCCTCTCCCTGTGCATATCAACCACTTTGTGTAGACGTATAAACTGTGCAGTGATGTGCGTTCACGAGCCATCCCTGAATGAAATGTATCCTTTGTTTACGGCCCCATTATCTAGATAATAACATCCATATTTCCTCTCATCTCCAGTGCTTTATCACAGCCTTATGAGCTCTTTCACTCTATCTCTTTCTGTTGCACACACACGCGCGCTCACACAGAGGCAGAGGGAGATAATGGGATTGTTGCCTCTGGTTTCTTTTGGTGAAATTGTAAATAAATTCTTCCATTATAAAGTGTGTGTTTTCAGCACCCAGCCATGTGTTTCTCCCTCAGTCTCTGCATGCACGTATACATCAAAGTACATACAGCATTACCGTACGGATCCATCTATGTCTGTGTATGTCTGCTTTCATCTTTACCCCCTTTTTTCCCATCTACCTGTATGGGAACTTATTTGTCAGTGTGTGTGTGTGTGTGTGCGTGCTAAGGATCATTTTCCAGCGAGTCATCGCCTGCTGTCCTTCCCTTGTCACTGTGGGCTGATAGCGACACCGACCTACAAAGCTCGGTAATAGAGAGCCGATGCTTGCCCCAACCCGCCGACAACCCCCCACACACCCACCCACCCCTGGTCGCTCTGCACTTTTCATTTGCTGCTGAGATGGATTTGGCTCACAGCCATCTCTCCCAGCCAATCTCCTATCTTGTATCTGCACCATTACGCTCCAAATCTGGGCAAATTATTCGCGGAAGCAAAGAAATAAATTCGGAGTGTTTCCATATAGGCTGTTTAGTGAGCGTGCTGAATATGCTGCTTCCACCTAAGCAGGTTTTCATCCAAATCAGTTAGTTCTCTCACACTTGTCCTGAACCATTTTAGTTTCACCAGCAGCTGTAATTCTCAATAAAACAAACAAAAAAAGCTTTCTATGATCTTTAATGTTCTTTATTGATGCTACAGAGCTTCATTTCATGTCTTTTTTTGCTTCTATTATACTGGACAGACTTTTTTTTTTTTTTTTTGGTTGATCAGTAACGTATGACAGATTGACAACTGAACAGTTTAGCGAAACGGGTTTTTTGGTTTGTAGGAGGATGCAGGATTTGTTAGAATAACAAATATTTTGCAAACTGCGGACCCAAAAATATGTCTGGAAAGGACTCAATGGGGGACATTGCTGCTGTTTGTGGCGTTGAACCACAAATATTACACCAGTAACAGATATATGAGCAAAATATAGTGAGGAACTTCATACATTCATACTCTCACTAGTGTTGCACCGATACCAGTATCGGACGGGGCTCCGATACTGCCCTAAAATGGTGGTATCGGTTTTGGCAAGTACCAACAAATAGGGCACAGATACCATTCTGGGAGCCAGAAGTTTATTCAACTATTTTCACCCACTCCTGGTAGGCAATAAATAGTTCTACTGGATTCACTTTGTATTAGATTTTTTCCTGCTTCACAAAGGTAGGAAGCAGCTTGACAAAGCCATGATGGCAATTATTTACATTATTATGGTATCGGTATCGGCTGATACTGCACAGCCAGGTATCGGGTATCGGTATCGGGGCCAAAAAATGGCATCGGCGCAACACTAACTCTCACCATCGTTTTTTTAGAATATCGTAAAGATCTGATCAGCCATGTTTTCTCTTTGGTCGTGCTGATCTTTAACAGTCCTCACAGATGTTCTGAATGTTTTATTTTTTTCTTTAGACTTCATTTGATTAAAGAAAAGGAGCATTAGAATTTTTCTCAAAAAAGTCTCTTCTTTTGTTTTATGTATTTATCATATTCTGTGCACATTTAAATAGGATTTCTGTTGCATTTCCTCCTAGATCCTGGTGAACTCTGTGAGCTCCAACCGCCCGGCCCTTCCGTATGAGAACGTGACCGTCAGCGAAGGAGGGAGCCCTCTCCTCAGAGACCTGCTGTTCAGCCCTGACCTGCAGCACATCTACACTCTGACTGACAGACAGGTTAGTTTATCCCTGAGAAAGCGCAGCAGAGGCTGTATCCAATCCTTCTCCAGCCGTATAAATGTTGCGAAACACAAACGCATGTATGTAACGATCAACAGTGTGGTTCATTAAACTTTCTGCTGCTGGTGATTTACATTCACTCACACTTTAATTGGACTGAAAACATCAGCTAACCAAAGTAGTCCTATTACCAACTGTCCAGAGCAGATCTCACCCCTATTAGCTATTATTTGTGTCTGTCTTAACCTTCCTCCCCAATGTACCATCGCTACACATTGCATCCCCTGTGGATTTAATTGCAAGGCAGCTTGCATTCAAGCCAGCCACACATTACCGCTCTGACAGTTTGCTTATAATCAAGACATTTCACACACAGACATATAGGGAGTGTTACGGGTCACATGTGGTGTGTGTGTTCAAGTGGTCATTAGCAGCCCCCACCTCTGGTAAGGGTTGTTCTGTTTTTAATGGTGAGCTAGATGGAGGAAGAGGCAGGGGAGTGAGGAAGAAGAGGAGAGCGTGTCGCATCTCTGTCGCTCCCCAGGCGCAGCTGCTCCCCTCGTTTTTCTGTCTCATTAGTGCCCTGAGTGAAGGATGCGGGGATGGAGGCAGGAGAAAGGAAAGAAAGTGGGGTTCAGCATAATGGGGAGATATTTCTTGACGATCTACAGTAAAATTGGTTGTTAGAGCAAAAAGCTGTATGTATAGACACGGGGCTGGGGTGGTGAAAGATGGCATCGTTTAGCAGTAAAGATGAAGACTTTAAAAAGAACTGGATGGATTGTTCTAATGGCTTTCATCTGAAACCGCTATTAGATGAACTAAACTGCAAATCAACTGTATATTAATGTGCATATTTTCATTTAAATGTGTTTAATTTGGCCATATTTGGCCTGAAACCACATTAGTGCCACCCTTAATAGGTTAAAACGTGGCTACTAAATCGTAGGTGCTCAATAATACCTTCCAAAGAAAGCAGACCTCCAACATAAGAAGCTAGAAAATAAAGAAATAACAGTTCCATATAAAGTGTACTTGATTGGGTCTTCCATATCCGATATCAAATCACTGGGGGGAGTGTTGGCCTAGTGGTTAGAGCAGTGTGCTTGTGCTTTGAGAAGGTTGCCGGTTCGATCCTCACAGTCTGCACTCTGGGTTTCTGAGTCAGACCCTCAACCCCACACTGCTCCCCAGGCCCTGCATAATGGCAGCCCACTGCCAACCAAGGGGATGGGTTAAATGCAGAGGTAAGTTTCTCCAATTTGAGATTAATAAAGTTCATTATTATTATATCCAATCCAGTCCTCATCAGAGCCGATACCTGATCCATGTATTAGATTGGTGCATCTATTCAGAGGGGTGGGTTCTCATGCTTCAGTGCACCGTATCTTTCTTTTGCTTTTGAGCGAGCAGTGTAGCTAATATTTTGAGACTAAACTGTTTTTTTTTTTATTTGAAACAAACTCAGACATATATCAAAAAATGATTTCATTCAGTGTGGTTCAACAGTGAACATGGACTCCAAATCCAGGCTTCTGTAAAGGTGTTTACCTGCCTCTGAATGCACCATTAGGTGTATAACTGTAAATTAACCAGCACATGGCTCCCTTAGATGGCAGCGTTAAGGGGAGCAATTATGAGAATCATAAACTGGTAGAGACCTCTGCAAACATTTCACTTCATTAAGTCTGCAGCAAGGTATGAAATGTTAACAGTCTATAATATTGTAAAATGTTAATGTACCACAGGCTACATGGGTATGCTGATATTTAAAAACCTACCGTTGGTACCGGTACCTCTCCTTAGAAAACAGTAAAAGTCACTTTTGCTGAAGCAGTGCTGAAGGTTTCTGCAGCAATATGCAATAGGTTATTACAGGAAAAAAAAAAAACTGGCTATAATCACACAATCCGATGCTATATGGTGAGAGATCTCATCCATACAGTTTGCACCAGTGTGACATGAATAAGTCATGTTTTCTTTGAATAAAAAGTGTCTTTTAGCTTTTTTTATTTTTTTTTATTTTTTTATTTTTTTTTTTTATTTTTTTATTTTGGACATCAGTCTAACTCAACCAACCGTTACAAATATAAAAAAACAACATGGCTAATTGAAAAAAAACACAGGCTTACATAGCAAACCAAAAACCTTACCCTTCGCTCATATAGTCATCAGACCATTTTCTCCATTAATGTTTTCTTTTTTAAATAGATGAACAACAAATCTACAGGCTTTTTTTTATGCAGCTTAATGCATATTTAGATGTTATTGCATTAAAATACATGTACCAGGTGGGTGAAACAAACATTTTGGCAGCTGAGAGCCTGTGGGCCACATGGACACATCATTTTAGTTATAGACCCTTGCAGAAAATGAGAATATAAGCCCAAGCTCACATGGTTTATTCATATACACACGCTCAACCCCACACAGTCGTTCACAAGGACATTCTGCCTCCGTACACCCAACATGCCCTTTTCTGCAGAGGTCCACACTCAGACGCACACATGCATTCAATCCATCACATACATACCCACCACTTCATCTCGCTGTGTTTGATCCCCATTAATGGTTGGCAGGCTTGGGTTAAGCAGAATGGGGTTCTACTATCGCCGCACCTCCCAGCTAACCCCCCCCCCACCCCTCTACAGCACTAATGACTCGAGGGGACAATTCCCTTCCCTCACCCTCCATCCTACCCTCATCTTTATCCTCTGCCCTCCATTTATTCTGCCAGTGCCCCCCATCCCTACTTTTTTAAATCCTCTCTTCAGCTGCCACACACACACACCCACACACACACATTAAATGTTTCAGTCTAAGCCCAAATTGAGCCCTCCCCTCTCAAATGCCTTCTACTGATCCCATTCCCAGATTTTTAATGATTTCTCAATACTCCGACAGTCCCCACCCAGCTGCATTCACATGCACACATTAACACAGACATGGATTCTTATGTTTAAAAGGGGAACGGCTACAGTTACAGTTAAAGTTACAGCCGATGCATCAAAACTGGCTGTTAGCAAGGTTCGAATGATTTCCAATCATGATTGGTTCCAACTGGTTAGAACTTTGCTTTACTGGCTGCTCATTCAGGCTGTTAGAGAGAGTAACAAATTCAGCAGATAACACAAAGGCCACTTAAAAAATGTATACGAAATGGTGGAACCAAAGTCACTTTCCTTGCTCACAATCTTTAGCTATACATCAGATTCTGAATCTGAAATGGTGAAAGCCTAGTTTGTTGTGTCAGTGGGATCCTTTATGCTCTGGATGTCATGCAACATGTTGGAGTTAGAGATGGATTTGGCAATGTTTCGTAGTATTATGAAAATAGACGGGAGGTAATGATCCACATCTTACTGTAAAATACAGTAGCAGCTTTCTAGATTGGGTGTATGATCCCATCTGGTCCTGATTCCAACTGTTATAGTCTGCATAGAAAAGGCAAGTTTAATCTTACAAAATCAGCAGGCAGGTATATATTTGAAACTAACCTAAAAAAACAGGTGTATCCCTATTCATGCGAGATCCTTGAGAAATATAGGTTCGTAGAGAAAGAATGGAGGAGTTGAAAAAGATGGACACACACTGTCTTTACCCTTGTAGTTTATCCGTGTGTAGCTTGTTGCCTGTGGGGGTTCCTAAGACAAGCCAAGCACATTAAGGTGTCAGTGGATATATCCAGTGATGCGTAGCTTTCCAGTCCCCCCACCCATACACAAACCCAGGAACAAACACACAAATGGGAGGCCCAGGTGGTGAGTCAGAGTTAGGGGGGGAAAGGCCTAGTGATTTATGACTCGCTCGGTCCCAGCTATATTCATCACTGTCGTTATTATCAATGGAGGATATGACAGCCGGAGCAGACGGCTTGCTCTGTGTGTGTTTGATGAGACGGTGTGTTATTGCAGGAAATTTAGATCAGCTTACTTTTGACTCCAGTCACTCTGTTGGCTTTGTGTCCTTCACTGAAATGCTTATTGTTTATCACTCTGGCAGATTTCCCTTTGCGTCAGAGCAAATGGTAAACTCTGCTTCCTCTGACAATTTTGAAATCTACACGATGACACCGATCCATTCAGTCACCTCCAAATGCTCTACACACGCATCTTCTACCTGATGCATGCTTTTTTTTTTCCCTCCAGGTTAGCAGTGATGTTGTTGTTGTGCTTCTGCTTCGCTGGAGTCGTTTTAGCTGCGCTAAAAGCAATGTCACCTCCCTTTGAGTCAATACCAACTTTTTGAAGCATCTCTGGAGCAAAACACTTCCTGTAAGAAATCGTCTAATGGTCGCTCAGTTCAGTCGAGACTTTTCATCATCAAGTTTCCTCCCTTTCTGTTTTATTGCCAAAGTTACGAAGCTGCGGCTGCTTTTGATGCCTGGGCTGCACACTATCTTTCTGCCCGCCTCAAAGTTGAACATGCTTTGGTGCACACATCTTTGTTTCTTTCAAGACAGCCATTGCATATGATGGCGACATAGTGTGCAACACTGGCTAATTGCTGGAAGCATGAATATTCATCTTTGGTGTGGGAAGGCGACTTGAATTTGGAGCAACAGAGGGCATCTTGGAAACAGAAAGAAGACCTGATTATGGAGGTAGAAATCATATGTGCTAAGGACACCCCCTATGTGGTAATGATGCCAAGTGTTGCATGTAAAATATATTCAAACCCTAACTTTTTACATTTTATTTTACCACCATATACATAACAATAACATACACTAAGTATGTTATTGTGATGTGTGTGGTTATCAGAACATAGGTCCTAACTGTGAAATGGAAGGACATATGTTTATTCTAACGTTCCACATTATTATATAAAAACAATGGCTTGGATTTTTATTCTAGCCTCCTTAATCAAAATTCATTTGAATAAAATCTACTGCATCAAATTGCTAGCTGGCTAATTGGTAAGAGTCCACTTTTGTTTAATTTAATCTCTGTACTGGTAGATAAAGAACAAGGAACAGGTCAAATTGGTCAGGGAGA